GGCATGTGGTGCTGGGGGATAGAACCGCGGTCCCTGTGCTTTTGCTAAGCTTGTTCTAAGTAGGTGCTTTAGACCACTGAGCCATCTCACCAGCCCAACCATAGGCCTCTGGGCGAACCCCTCCCCACCTTTTTTTGTGCGCTGCCAGAACTCAGAGCTCAAGCATGCTAGGCAAGGACTCCATCCTGGGCCTTGTGTTACGCTCCACACCCAACCACAGGCTCCTTTTTTTTTTTTTTTTTTTTTTTTTTTTTTTTTTTTTGAGCCAGGGTCTCACTGTGCAGTTCAGGCTGGCCTTAAGCTCGCTATGTAGCCCAGACTGGTTTTGAACTCCCAACAATCTTTCTGCCTCAGGCTTCTGAGTGCTGAGATTACAGACCTGTACCACCACACCTGGCCATAGCTACTGTGTGTGTGTGTGTGTGTGTGTGTGTGTGTGTGTGTGTGTGTGTGTGTTAAATTGGCTCTGCAGAGCAAGCTGGGGCTGAATAAAAGAGGAAGACGCAGGATGGAAGTATACTCTGGAGGATTGGAGGACACAGGGCAGGCTGTCATGAGGAAAGCTTCCACAATCCTGGCCACATATTAAAGGCGTTAGATTTGGAAAGTCAATTCCTTTGAGAAAGACTCAAACAATACTGACAAAGCTGCATGTGGTAGTGTATGCCTGTAATCCCAGCCCTCAGGAGGCTGAGGCAGGAGAATCCTTGTGCATTTGAGAGCAGCCTGGGCTACAAAGTGAGCTCAAGGCCACCCTGAATTGCTGAACTGCAGAGTGAGGCCCTGTTTCAAAAAGAAACAAACACAAAAACAATATTGACAAAGCTCGAGGTCCCTTGCCCATCAGTGCTCCCTGCTGGTCCTTTTCTTGTACAGCTCCCTGCTCAGCTCCTCCCAGGGTCAATCTCCACTTTACTTGGTGCAAGGCTGCTGAGTTATGTATCCTTTTTTTTTTTTCCTGTACCTGGGATTGAATTTAGGGCCTTGTGGTTGACAGGTAGGCACTTATGCCGCTGAGCTATCTCCCTGGCCCTATATAACCTTTTCTCAAAAAAATGCATTTAGGGGCTGGCCAAATAGCTCAGTGGATTAAAGTGCCTGCAAGCAGGAGCAGGGGCCTGGGGTTTGATCCCCTGGCCTGCCGCGCAGGCCCTACCCCTGGGGCGTGCTGAAACAGCAATTGAGACTGGAGGCTGTAAACAGGAGGATCATTATGAATCTGATCTAGTAGTGAGAACCTGAACACTCTGTAAACCCTTTCCTAAAATACAAAAAAAAAAAAAAAAGCATGTAGTACAAGGTCTACAGGATTTCACTACAGTAAGATCAGACTCTAGTGATCTGCCTGTTTACAGACTCCCAAGGGCTGGGATTACAGGAGCACGCCACCACACCTACTCTCAATCACCTTCTCAGGGCCCCCCGGGGGAGGGGGCCGGCATGGCAGGCCTGGGAATCAAACCCCCAGCCCCTGTGTCTGCCTAAGCAAATGCTTTAATCCACTGAGTTATCTGGCCGGCCCTCCTATGTAACCTTTTTTAAAAAATAATTATTTTCTTTCTTTTTTGTTTGTTTAAAAATAATTTATTTGTTTCTGGTGACAGAGAGAAGGCCAAGAGGTGAGGCTGCACTGCTTTATCTGTGTGCCTCTGGCCATCCCACAGCTGCAGAGTAAGGCATTAGGTCACAGGGGCAGGGTGCCCCAGCAGGGTCTTTCAACCCTGCAAAGTACCTGGTGGTAGTTCTTTTCCCTCTCTAAAGTTCTCCTGAAGGTTAGAAATTCCATCCTGTGAGACTTAAAGCTGTTCAAGTACCCTCATGGGAAGGCTTTGGGGAGGGACTACGGTGCTTTCCTCCTCCCAGCTTGGGACCCGAGGGTGCCTGTGGCACCTAGACAGCTTCCCCCGGAGCCCCCACATCCCAGGGCGGCGCTGGAGGAAGGGCAAGCCAGGCCAAGCATGAGGCAGAAAGAGTCTTTATTAGGCTCAGACCCGAAGTCCGTGGGTCTTGAGGACCTCTGCGAACTTGCTGATTTTCTTCTCCACATTCTTCTCCGCCTGTTTCCCTGGCCTCAGGAGCTGCTTCTTCTTCCTGTAATGGATCTTGGCCTTTCCTTCCTCGTGAGCCAGGCGGCCCAGGTAGGCAGATTTCCTCGCTGGCTTCAGCCGCACGACCTTGAGGGCAGCAGGAACCACCACCGGCTTTTTCTTGTCATAGCGTGACAGGCTCCCGGCAGACACCTTGAGGCGGTCCAGGGCAGCCTGGCCTCGCTTGGTCTTGTGGGCAGCATCCCTCGCACGGTCCGCCAGGAGATGCGGCTGGGGGCGCAGAAGTAGTGGGGGCCGCGGGATGCACTGGAGGCCGGGGAGATGGCTCAGTGGAATAAATGCTTCCCTAGCAAGCGAAAGGGCCTGAGTTCAATCCCCGGTTGCACCAAAAAGTATAAATAAAAATTTATTTTCAAGCTGGGTTTGGTGGCATGCCTGCAATCCCAGCACTTGGAAGTAGAGAGAATAAGACTGCAGTGAGGCCAGCCTGGGATACCTATCACATTGAGACCTTATCTCAAAAACAAGTAATTTTTAATTTTTTTATGTGTTTAGTACAGGGTCTACAGCGTATTTTCAAAATTTTGAGATAATGTTTCCCTAAATTTTCAGGTTGCCTTTTTTTTTTTTTTTTTTAACAGAAATCAAACTTATGATCTCATACTTGCAGGTAGGCACTTGCATCACTGAGCTATATCTCCAGCCTTTTTTGATCTTTTTGAGACAGGGTTTCACGATGCAGTTCAGGTTGGCCTTAAACTTGTAAACTCTATTTGTAGCCCCATGCTGGCCTCACACTCATGGGATTCTCCTGCCTCAGCCTGCTGAGTAGCTGGGATTACAGATGTGGACCACTGTGCCCCGCCATATGTACTACTTTTAACACAAGTGGCTTCCTATCCATACAGTTCTGCAATTTGTTTCTTTTTCCTTAATGAAACATCTCCAACATCTCTCCCTATGCTGTTCAAGCCAACTGCTGCCCAGTATTCCCTCCCATGGACACACCTAGGTTAGTTTCCAGGACTCTAGAGAGTGATACTACAGGTGCTTGTAATTTTCGACTGTGATCAACAATGATGTTATTCAGAATTTTGGAAATGCTCCATGGATTGTCTGGCCACAGCGGAGCTGGAAAGTTTCTTCAGGCAGAACCAGGACAAGACTACATCAATATAACTTTTAACGCTATAACAAGAGCTGCGGGGAACTGGACTAGTGCTTCCGGGTCGGAGCCATGGTGGTGGCAAATTCAAGCCCCGTAAACCCCGTAGTGTTCTTCGATGTCAGCATCGGCGGCCAGGAAATTGGCAGCATGAAGATCGAGCTGTTTGCAGATGTCGTGCCCAAGACAGCGGAGAATTTCAGGCAGTTCTGCACTGGAGAATTCAGAAAAGATGGGGTTCCAATAGGATATAAAGGAAGCACGTTCCACAGGGTCATAAAGGATTTCATGATTCAGGGTGGAGATTTTGTTAATGGAGATGGTACTGGAGTCGCCAGTATTTACCGGGGCCCATTTGCAGATGAAAATTTCAAACTCAGACACTCAGCTCCAGGCCTGCTTTCCATGGCAAACAGTGGTCCTAGTACAAATGGCTGTCAGTTCTTTATCACCTGTTTGAAGTGCAACTGGCTGGATGGGAAGCGCGTAGTGTTCAGAAAAATCATTGATGGACTTCTAGTGATGAGTAAGATTGAGAATGTTCCTACAGGCCCTAACAATAAGCCTAAACTGCCTGTGGTAATCTCACAATGTGGGGAGATGTAGTCCAGGCCAAGACTGAATCATGAATGAGGGCTTCCTTTGCTGTCCTGACTTTTCTGAGTCAGAAAGCTGGACTGGCCTCTGCGTTTGCATTCTGGCCTGCTGCAGAAGTACCAGACCCAGAACCAAACGTGAACACTGACATTTTCAACTGTAAATAAAGGTTTTTGAATGTTTGTGCCCATAACAAAACAAAAAAACAAGAGCTGCGGTTTAAAGAAAAAATTTTGTATGTGTGACTGATTGATTGATTGATTTCAGACAGGGTCTCACTGTGCAGTTCAGGTTGCCCTTGAACTCACTAGGTAGCCAAGGTTAGCCTTCAACTCAAGGTAATCCTCCTGCCTCAGCCTCGAGAGTGCTGGGATTACAGGAGTGCACCACCATGCCCAGCTATTTTTGCAATTTAAAAAAAATTTTGCCTCTAATACATTCTTCCTCCCAAGAAAGAAGGTGGCAATAGGGTTCTCCATAATTTTTTTTTTTTTTTTTTTTTT